GCCACCACTTTTTTTGAAGAAATTCCGGCGTGCGGGATGGCGACTGTAATGAAGGAGGTATTAGAACGGTTCCTGGGGCTGAGAGCAAGGTATCCAAGGAGGACGACCTTGTTGCATAAAATGAACGTGAAAGTGCGTTTCGCCAAATTCCAGTAGACCCCGCAGGGGCGCCGGCTTTCGGATATGTGGTAGGGGAATTCCTGGTAGTAGACCTTCGGTTGCAGTTCGGATGGCGGGGCAGTCCTGGGTGGTGGGGGTTGGTGGCGTCGGCGATAGAACACGTACACCGACAGACGACGAGAGACANAGCGGTAGGGGGGGGGAAGAATGATCCGGCGTTTGTGCGGTTTTTCGTGGATGATGCGATTAGCGTGGAAGTGCAGTGAGAAGACCAGGGGGAGCGGTGTCTGGAGTTGACGAAGGGGCTTGCGTCCACCCGCCATGTATTGTTAGGGGAGAGGGATGAGCAGGAGGAGCCACTACTGCCCGCAAAGAAGATGACAGACTGGAGGACGGAACATGTGGTGTAAGGGTGGTTGGTGGATACCGAAGCAGGGACGATCTCATTGCCGGAACAGAAAGTGCAGGATTTGAGAGAGAGACTAACGGAATGGCCAGAGCACAGGAAGCCGGCTACCGTGCGCGAGGTATTGGTGTTGGCAGGTAAGCTGCACCATGCGGCCTTCGGCCCGGCCGTTACTTCGTACACAGGCTTCTGCAGCTTGCCGGGCTGCACCTAAATGAGGTGGGACGGGCCGGGGGGGGGGACATGTGGGGCAAACATTGGAACAAGGCGCATGCACGCAAGGTAGTGAAGCTGACATAGGAGTTTATGGCAGAGGTGGGGTGGTGGCGGTGGTATCTAGGGGGAGGGGCGGGGGAGGTGGGCAGAAAGATAACGGCGGCGTCGTTCAGCTTTGCCAAGCAAGTTCCGTCGAGGAGCTGGTTTTCGGATGCGTCAACGAGAGCATTGGGGGGGGTTTGCATGGAAACGAGGGTGTTCTGGAGGTACGAGTTGCCGGAGGAGGTACAAGGAAGGACGATCAGGGCGAGGCAGAAGGGAGAAGGGGACTTTATTTGCATAAATGAACTAGAACTAATGGCGATGGTGATGACGACGTATGTGATGGTAATTTCGAGGGGAGATAGGCCGGAGCGGGAAGGAGAGGCGGTGATAATGAGGGCGGACAATCAGAACGCCGTGTCGTGGGTGAAGAAGTGTGGGGGGGCGGGTAAGAAGAAGGCGAGGATAGGGGCACTGATGAGGGTGATTGGGAGCCTTGGAGACGATTGGGGGCTGGTGTTTTCAGGCGAGGCATGTACCGGATGTGGAGAATAAGCTAGCAGATGGCATAACGAGATGGAAGGAAGAAGAGATCGCTGACAACTTGCAATCGGAATCGCCCGGAACACGTTGGCAGGTGCAGGAGCTGAAGGCCGAGGAGCAGCAGCTATGTGCAGAGATTTTTCGCGAAGCTCTGCACTTGGAAGAGTTGCAGCGTCGACTAGAAAAACTTACACGGGGGCTTGGAACATGTGGATAAAGTGGAGGGAACGAGTGCAGAAGAGCCCATGGATTGCGAAGGGGTCGGAGGAAGGGGAAATAGTGGAGGAGCTGGCGGAGTACATGACTTTCTGTAGTGCGTTTCTTGGAAACAGGGATTCGGCGATCATGGGGAAGCTCGTGGCGGTAAATTTCTATCATCAACAGTTTCAGAACATGTCTTTGCCGTCGAGTAACCCGTACATCAAAGGGGTAGCGCAAGGTATTCAGAGAGGGCACGTGGAGAAAGGTACACAAGCAAGAGTGAGGAGACCTTTGACATGGGGAATGTTGAGTGCAAGGCAGCAGAGTGTTGGCGGTGAGGGTGCAGGGGGAAGAGTGCTGTGGATCGGATTGGCATTGACATATCTGCTGATGTTGAGGGCGTCAGAGTTGTTTGCGGAAAAGGATGGAAAAATCCACGAACTGTACTACTGCAAGTGCAGGGGGGACGTAGCATTCTTCGAGGGCGATAAGCAGCTGGAAGGACAGGAGAGGTTGAGAGCAGATAAGATTGAAGTGCAGATGAGAGGCTCGAAGGGAGACCAAGGCAGGAAAGGAGCGGTGATGGCCAGGGAGAGGGGGAGGGCGAATGGAGCGGTGGAATTGATGTTGGAACTATTCGGGATTTATGGAAGCGAAGGATTAAGTGCAACGGCACCATTGATGGTACACAGAAGGAAAGGGAAGTGGGAGGTATGGCTTAGAGGGAAGGCGATCGAACAAATGAGTAAGGGGATACGAGCGGTGTCAAAGATGTGGTCGAAGAAGGGGAAAGGGGCAGGAGCGAAGTTATCACCGGAAGAGTTTGCGTTACATTCGGGAAGGATAGGTGGGGCGACGAGGCTGGCCGCGAAAGGGGTACCGGAGGCGATGATAGAGAAAGAAGGGAGGTGGTCGTCGAACGCATTCATGGCATACATGAGGGCGAACATGCAAGATCCAGCATGGGTGTCGGCGGTGTTGGAAGAAGGTGAAGGGGTATTTGAGAGACGACCGGGGCAAGGGACGGAATGGGGAAGAAATCGCAAAGAGGGATCCAGAAGTAACAAGAACAAGACTTCGTGATGGGGAGGTTTGTGTCCAAGCTGGGCGACCAGCGGAATGTGGTCAGCCTGGTTCTCATTACTTAAGGAAGCGCGTGGATTCCTTAGTAGGCTTAAGGGCCGGGAGGGAGGGGGAGAGTTCCACCTCCACGACCCGGCCTTTGCGCGGCGACACAGTAATAAAAATGACATTTTTCGGGAAGTGAGAGACAATATAGACTATACAGTGACATATGGATGTGCGCGGACCGCACGGAAACATCCGCAGAGCAAGCGGAGGAACAGTTGGACATGGGACCTCGAGTAGGACGTACGTACAGCTACACCAGAGACACACATCACCCCCGACTTTTGGTGGTTTAAGAGCTCGTACTCCACCAAAACTCGACAGCGAGTAGTTCTGGTTTGCTGACAATACGTTTAACTCACATGAGAATGACTTCACTCAAGAACAATCAAATGTCGAAACATTGATGTTTAAACAAAATGCCGGAGGGAACAGACGAGCCGAGAACGGGACATGTACCGATTGGACGAGACACGGGTAGCGACGACTCGTACAAGACAAAGAAAAATGGTCGCGACGTGTACCATGATCCGTGGGTATGGAATCGTAGTGGGAAGATCCTGAGAGACAAAACATGTACAAGGCAACGTTGGCGTACCGTGGCCAGACGAGATATGGCACGCGACAGGGCGCATGAGTCCACCGAAGTGAGATATAGACAGCATGGCAACATCATCGAAGTGACGCGGTGCGCTAGTTAACAACCATCTTGTAGGCTGGTCAGAGCTCTTGCGGATGACATTATGCGGTTTATCAAGCAAGGCGTCGCGTCAATGAAGACGAGAGACAGAGGACAGACGTGGATTGACGTTGGACGTGGACCAAATAAAAAAAGAAACGCGTTGTCGCATGACCGAGACTTGATGGAAGGCAGGACAGATCAAGTCTATCGGCATGTACACACTGCGACAAAGCGTCGTGCATCAGACCCTCCCGTCGTGTTAGGAGAAGAGCGGTACATGATGATGAGACGAGGGCGTGTGGTACCCTATGAGGCAAAGATGTTTTCCACCACGTTTTAATAATTTCTCTTCGGTCATCGCGGGCCGGAGGGGCCCCGATAGTTTCGTACTGAGCGGCATAAGCCAACTACTCACGATATGGCGAAGGACAACGCCGTATGGTGCGGATGTCACAACGCGCGTGAACCGCTAAACAAGAAACGAAACGAAATCAAAGAAAAAACCATGGAGACAACGATCCTCATACGGGTGCGGTGTCAACCGCAGAATCTACACGAAACAAAATGACATAGGCCGAGGCCTGTGCTGGAGTGTCTGGGTGGAGACGGAGGGATTCTCAAGTGGCGCCCATCTTACTGGCAGTGCGAGTGCTCTAGCGCATATAACGATGCGGGGCGTCAGATGAAGGGACACAGTCAGACCACCAGGCAGAAAAAGCAGCGGGACAAAAAAAAGTTCACGTCAAAGAATGTTCTGGGCAGCGTCAGATGGCGCGGCCAACGAATCAGGACAAGAAAATACAAGGCGTGCGCGGTACTGGCACAGAACCCAAAGACAATGGGTACCAAGTAAAAGCCATGTGGGTACGGAGACCCTCAAGTTGACACACATAGAACATACACCGTTCTAAGACATACTGCCGGGTAAGAAAAAAAAATCAGACAATGTATAGCAAGCACATGGGCGCCGGACAAAGGTGGTTGCAGACCGATGTTTGGACGAAGGGGTGCGCAGACAAGCCCATGTTTAAAGTGCTAGACACAGGGGCGGGCGACGAACGAGTGTTCCGCCGAGGGAGTGAAAACGCCGAGGGATCTTGGGACAAAATTTCGGCACGGTAGGAAGCAATCATCTCACCACATTGGGGAATGGCACGGTAGTGGCGTCAAAGGCCCATTTGTGGAGGATAGTCTTTCAACTTGAGATGATACTGGAAGTTGTCCAGGGAAGCTGCTCCTACCCCCCGTTTGTGACCGTCGATAAATTCGATGGTATACGGCCCGCAGGTGACTGCGGATTTACAACCGTCCAGAACCGGCAAAGGAAGTGTCGTTCCAAGAAACAAATCGTCGAGTGTTTCAGGAAACGGGACCGGAGACGAGGTGGGGACAACGCACGGTTTCATACGACCCAAATGGACGGTGGTTTCGATCGGCTCGTTGGTTTTGAGACCCGATAAATGTCGGGCGAGAGTTGTGCTCGGACAGTGTAGGACCATGCCAAGGGCTAACGAGCTTGGGGTTGGGTCCAGCTGATTCGGTGTACGGACGATGGACGAGTAAATTCAAAGCTTGGGGAGAATAATTTCTCATTGGCTTCCGCTTGTTTTGACGTGCGTCCTTTGAGGTTGTGGCGAGCTAACTCGTATGCAAGCTGGAGTTTCTCTACGGTACGGCGTGAGTAATCCAGACGGCTTTGGGGAGCCGGCGTAGCGGCGACACCAAGAATGAGATCGACAGGGAGTTTGGCCGCGCGATCGAACATGATATAATGAGGGGTCTCTTGCAAGGTCTTGGAGGACGCAGTATTGTGCGCGAGCTGGACAAACGGTAGCAGTTCAGCCCAATTATCACACGCCAGATTGCAATACATGGCGAGCATATTATGGACGGTGCTATGGACACGTTCAAGGACAGAATTAACCTTGAGGACGATACGCGACGGTGCGGGTCTTCTTGTACCCGAAGGCAGACTGCAATTCTTTCACAAGTTGGTTTTCGAATTCCTTGCCTTGGTCAGAGTGCAGGGTGTCCGGAGGGCCGAACACCGAAAAGACGCGATCGACTAGATTACGGACAACGACAACCGCTTTTTCGGATTTGATGGGAATCAAGATGACAAAGCGTGTGAGATGATCGATCACGGACAAAATGTAGCGGTTACCTTCAGACAGAGACTTGTATTCAACAAGATCGACGGCTACGCATTAAAACGGTTGCGTTACCGGACGATGGCCGACAGGCAATTTCGGCGGTCGGTGTGACGTTTTTCGATGTTGACATGATTCGCAACTCTGGACGTGACGGGTGATATCGGAGTGCATCGTTGGCCACAAGTAACGGTCGCGAACTTTGTCGAAAGTACCCTTAAAGGCTAGGTGCCCTCCAGAGGAGGGAAGGTCATGGCATGAGGAGATGACGAGGGTTTGTAGGGAGGATGGGACCACGAGTTGATCGCGGAACTGACCCCGACGGCGTATGTGGGCGGGGATGTACGAACGGCAAAGCAAACCTTCATGAAGGAAAAACTTGCTCATGCAAGACTTAGACTGGTTCGGAGGAACGGGTGATGGAGTGGCGAGGTAATCGAAATACTGGCGGAACTCGCGTTTTGGTGATCCAACAATTTGACAGAATCGACTACCGGAAAGACGGACACAGCACTCGAACACAGTTCGCGGTCGCTTTCGACGAAGGCGGTTTCATCGAGGTTGTGTGAGGATACTTCGTAATCGCGAGGAACCGGGGGACAGAATGGCGTATCATCGGGTACGTTGCGACAGATCGCCGCAAGCCTTGGTTCGGACAGCACGGGGTTGCCATTAACCTCGCTAAAAACACGAGACAGAGCGTCGGGGACGACGTTGAGTTTCCACGGCACGTGTTTGACAGTGAAATCGTAGTTCTGGAGTGCAATAGCCCAGCGCGTCAACATGTTTGACGTGTCTTGCATATGGTACAGCGACGTGAGCGCTTGATGATCGGTGCTACACGTAAAATGACGCCCCCAAAGGTATGGGCGCCAGTGGGTGAGGGCCCAGACAACCGCAATGCATTCTTTCATGGTAGCGCTGTAATGGTGTTGGCCCTTTGAAAAACGTTTACTGTAAAACGCGACGATATCGAATTCCTTACCGTCGGCACTATCGCGTGATGGTTGAGCGAGGAAAGCGCCTACGCCTTGTTCGGAGGCGTCGGTGTGAACGACAAGTTCTCGAGAGAAATCGGGCAAGTGGAGGACAGGGATAGAGGATAGGACTCTTTTGACGTTTTCGAAGGCGGCATCTTGGGCCGGTCCCCATTCTTCTATTAAACTAGCACGTTTGACATAATCTTTTCGAGTGAGTTCGACCAGCGGAGCGGTGACATCGGCGTACTATTTGATAAAACGTCGCCCAAAATTCACCATGCCTAAGACAGATCGGAGATCCTTGATGCAGGTGGGGGTGGGCAGGTTGCGAATGGCATCGATACGGTCGGTGGTAACGGAAATGTCTTTTGCAGGGATGACATGACCCAAGTAGTCGACTTCTTTCTGACCAAATTGAATTTTCGACGGTTTGAGCGTAAGACCTGCTGCTTGTAATGCTGCGAACATTTTCTCGAGAGATGACAGGTGAGCTTCGAACGTGTGATTGATGCAGATCAAATCGTCCATGTACGAAAGAACACCGGAGTCTGGACCTAGGTGACCTAGAGCGAGAGACATGACATGTTGGAAAAGCCAAGGTGCATTAGCTACTCCAAACGGCATGCGTTTCAAACAGTACTTGCCGGTAGGGGTGACGAACGCAGTGCGGTCCACGTGCTCCTCCGCTACGGGGATCTGCCAGAATGCGCTGAGGATGTCGGCGACGATGATGTAGAGAGCTTGGCCGACGGCATCCAGGCAGGACTCGAGGTCGGGCATGGGCCAGGTTTTTCGGACGATGTGGCGGTTGAGGGTGTGGCGGTAGTCTACGCAGAAACGGGGACTGCCGTTTTTCTTAGCGATGAGGGTGCATGGGCGCCCCCATGCGCTGGGTCGTTTTTCAATGATTCCCCACTCGAGCATTGCGGCGACGCATTTGTCGGAGACAGTTGCGACTCGGGGATTCGGACGGTACGGCGGACGATCGACAGGACGTGTGCCGGGTGGTACGGGGAACGTGGCTTCTGCAATGGTGCAGCAGCGGCCGAGTTCGGGCATTGACAGGGAAAAGACAGGACGGTATTTTGCGCACAAGTCGAGGACAGCTTGTTGTTGCTCAGATGTGAGAGTGGTATGGTCGAAGGCTTTGGATAGAGGCCCTTCGAGTTCGGACTTGGCGAGGCGAAGTCCGTCATCGGTGACGGGTGTATTCGCGACAGCATTGACATGAAGTTGGTCAGGTTCAGTGACAGTCACTGTTCACAATTGACCGAGACAAAGGCCATCATAGAGACGGACGCCATCTGACGAAGGATTGGCGATTTGGGCAACTACAGATCCATCGGAAGCATGGCACGTAGCTAGAGTACGGGCAATGACAATGTTTTTGAAAGGACTGAGTGTTTCGTCGTGGGACAAGTCTTGTTCGGAAACGATCCGAGGTTCGACAACGACGGTACAAGGACGACAATCGGTGTGGGCGACAGCAAGCGCTTCGCGCATCGGTGGGATATCGACGCGTTCACGCAAGGACAGTGCGACTTCTGTGGAATGGCTATGGACAGCAGCCAGGGACGGTTTCGGGTCGTGGCGACGACTTCTACGTGAGGGACTGGACGAATTAGTGCGGTGGACAGCTGGTATTTGCAAACCAGAGGACGAAAAAGACAGGGTTTGTTGTTCCCAATCAAGGATCGCACCAAAATCCGACATGACGCTGTTGTCTAACAGTATTGAATCGGGTCCTAGGGAGGGGACAACAAGAGCGGTGAGCGTACGGGTGATACCGCAAGGGGTTAATGGAAAGTCAATGAACCCCATGACCTCTATAGGCGAGCCGTTCGCTGCTCTAAGGGATACGGCAGCCGGAGGGACAGGTTTGAGTGGCGCATTTTGTTCGTGGGTCTGCGAACATTGGTGTTGGATACATGTGCTGCATGATTTTGTGTCACGCAGACTGGTAAGATTACCGTTTGGTAGGGGGCACCGCGATGATTCACGGGGACCCTCCTTGCTGTGGGAGCCGCTCTTTGAGCACTCCCTCTTTCGTCCGTGTGAAGGACGGTCGTCGACCTCTCGTGAAGTAAATACATCACCAATACAGTCTCACCCGATAAACAAGTGGCGTAGGCCGCAAACACTCTACAGTTGCCCCTCGAGGGAAGCCACATCGGGATGAGCTCTGCTGGAGACAAAGAGCGCCCTGCTACGAGCGGAGAACAGATCCGCCCGGCGGTGCAGGAGGGCCACGACGCGGAGCTTGCAAGTTTGCAACGGCAGATTTCGCAATTGGCGGCCCTGGTGGAGGAGTCGGTGAAGAAGAAGGAGCCTGGCAGCGTCGTGGCGGATGCAGCCAGTAGGGGTGGCTGGGTTGCTGCCCCCAGAGGCCAACGAGAAGAGCCCACGCTGCCACTCGGCGGTGGCAGGAGATTTCTCCAGCAGCAAACGAGAGATAGTGGGCAAGGACCACGGCCGCTGCTGGAAGGCGGCTGGGCCAGCAGATCGGGAGCGAACCCTGTTGGACCAGCCGGAGTGGGCCCGGGCATAGGACCGGACTACGGGGAAGCGAGGGGGTTAAACCCCCCAGGTGAGATACCCGTGATTCGAGGAAATGGAGAATACCTCGACGGCTACAGCAGTAGCGACCAGAAACGAGTGACGGTCAATGCCCCGCTTCTAGACGGAAAAAGCCGTAGCCACGGATTTGATTCGTGGCGTAAATTGTTCATCCAAGCTGCGAAGACCATCGACTTGGACGGGCAGTTGATAGGAGATGCAGAGAGCAGTATCCCCGTGGGCGACCCAAACTTGCCGACTTCCGAA